AAAAAAAAAAAAAAAAAAAAAAAAAAAAAAACAACATACACGTCCCCCATTAATCAAAATTTTGAATTTTGAATCGTCCCTCCATCGTCCCCAATTCACCCCTTAACCGTACACCAATCCATTCGTTTCTATAATACATTTTTCCATCTCTCTCCTTCCTTTTTTTGCACTATTCTCCATTTTCCGTATTTTCTATTGCCTCCATCTTTTTGTATGCTTCGTTTAGGAACAGATCACTTTGCTCGTATCTTTAATCGTATCCTAGAGAGTAAAATACCTTAAACGTACGCGTTTACCCTTACAAATTTAATTTTTTCAACCCCTCCAACCCCTTAACGCTTTTATTTTTTTTTTTTTTTCATCTTTTTTACCGTGCGAATAGTGTGTTTCGTCCGTCCATTACATAATTATCTGTCTGTCGTCGTCACGTCATTGTCCTCGTGTAACTATTTCATAGTTATCACGATCACGATTTAGTTAGTTAAACGTATCATTTTTTTCTCTTTTTTTTTTTTTTTCTTTTAGATTCTTACGATATTGCAGTCCCTAGGTGTCGCCTTAATTATATACATTCACTACCCTTTCGCGCTTCTAGCTACGCTCCTTGCAAGGATCTCGTGGTTTAATAATTAATCGTATGTGAATTAGCCCATTACAACGGCGGGGTATCGAAGTATGTATGTGTGTGTGTGTGTGTATCTGTATGCACGAATGACGCGAATGTTTATTATGTATCTATGTGCGTGTATACGTGTTGTATATATCCCATTATTTCGTTTCGTTCCCTTTATTGGCGATCATACGGTGTGTCTGTGTGTATACGTGTGTATGTTTCTCATCGTTAATTATACTCGAGCTGAGAGATATTTAAGAAATCGTGTCGTACCATTATTACTTTTTTTTTTTTTTTTTTTTTTGGGATGGGTTTAGTTTCGCCTACAGTATCGTTTATTACGGCAAGGAAGGAAAAATCGTCGAGAGAGAACAATGTCGATCGGTCGCGCGCACGCTCTATTCTGCAGTTATTATTTATAATTATTATTACTTTTTTTCCGCATATTATTATTTTTTTTTTTCTCCATTTAAAAACGACTATCCTGCCCTCCAGTAAGATTAGACGTAAAGAAAGAGAGCCCTTTCACTTGAAGCGGAACACATTCAAAAGTAAAACGCTATTATTCACTATATCGATTAACCGGGGAATACATGTGATACTTTTTATCCTTGTGGATGGTCGATATTTTAAGCTTCTCAAGTAATGGTATTATAATTTATTTTTTATTTTATTTACTTCCTCTTCCCTTCCTTCTTCCTCCTCTTCTTCCTTCTTCCTCTTTTTTTTTTCGTTTTTTTTTTTTTTTTTTTTTACTTTTTTCATTTTAACTAACGAACCATTCCTCTGGATGCGTTATAATAAATACGAAGATTCGTCCGTGGAAATTGGAAAAACCTGTCCCTGGTCGTACCGCGTCCCGTCTCGGTCGGAGAACACCGCCATCTTGTGAATAACGACGCGTTTCAAATGGCGGCCTGAATCGCGTAACCGGAAATGAAATTAATCCCCGCCAATGACGGTTATGGAACGCGTGATTCACTAGCACGCATTTATCAGTGTCCTCGCGTGGTGAATTTGCAATCGAATTAGTATCGTTATAGAGTGCACGTTGCCTGCTCGTGGCTGTGTTATACACACGTATATAATACGTACATTCATATGTATATATATGTATACCAGTGTATATACCCAGCAAACGTTTATTTCATGGAATTTATGTCGGTGATAACTATTTCGGTCGGCTTCGCACAAATTTTACCGCAAGATTATCTTTTATATTACGGCTCTTGAGAATCCAATGAACGCCGGATATCGATCGCCGTGATTTTAATGATTCATTCTTCCAGCAATCTATCGATGAATTTTCATAAGAATTAAAAAAGATGATTTTGAATCTTTCTGAAATTGTCAACGATTCGTTCAATTTTTACTTTAACTAGAAGCAAAGAATTCAGT